CTATCCATAGGCACTTGATTTTTATTTTTGACTAACTATAGAAATCAAACATCATTTAAAATTATATGAATACAATTGAACAAGTATTTATGTACCATGTATGTGTCTGTGTGTGTGAGTGTGAGTGTGTGCATCTGTGTGTGTATGCAGGTACCATGGCACATGTGTGGAAGTCAGATGGGCACTTGTAGGAGTCAGTTCTCTCTGACCTGGTGGGTCCCAGGGAGGGAACCCAGATCATCAGAGTTGCTGGCAAGCATGCTTATCCACTGAGCCGTGTCACCAGGTCTTGTCATTCTTCCTCAGTTGCCCTCCACCTTATGTTTTGAGGCAGTGTCTCTTACTGAACCTGAAGTTATTTCACGTAGGCTGGCTGACCAGCAAGCCCTAGGGATGCCCCTGTCTCTGTTTCCACAGCATTGCCTCATGTGTGCTACACAAATGCTCAACCACTGATCTGCCCCTCCAGCCAAGGACACTACTTTGAAAGGAGTGAAGAGAAATACCAAGTCCTTAATGTTCTATGGAATTTGCTGATGTAACTGCGTAAAGCTGATTCTATTATTATGGGAGATTTCTGTTGCAGTTTTTTGTATATGTTTTAAATTGTCATGCAGCAACTTTTCTTTTAGGTAGTTGGCAGTTTATACTTTTTGTATATGAATTAGTATATTTAATTTACTTCTGAAGATGTGTCAGGACGCATTTGAAGTGATTTTTCATTTTCATCTGCTCTGCTCGTGATGTTCAAAGCCGTGAAGTGACGCTTCTTTCCCCATGATTCCTGCATGGGGCATTTATGTCTTTCCCAACGGTGTCACTATTTATCCACGTCCTTCACAGGCCTCGCCTCTGAAGGCCAGTTCTTCAGGCTGTACATGTTCTGTTGTTGGGAACAATGCTGCAGTGAGCCTCCACATGCATACCGCTCACGGTTTCCTCAGGCCTTATTCTAGACCTGTTCTTGCTGGGCTTGGCACTGTGCACAGTTACCAACCAGAGCTGTTCCAGTGGCTTTCTTCTGAGCCTCTCTGCTTTGCCTGTACTTATGTTGTGAGCGTGTTCTCTGAGTACTGTTGAAGCTGGATGCTTTTAATATGTCACATGTTTACTGGTTAATTACAGTTCTGTCCATTCATACACCTCACCTATTGCGCTAAAATTCAAATTTTCCCTTCCTATACGTACTTTTGTGAACACTTATCTCCTTTGTGTGTGTAGAAAGGTGTATGAGCACATGTTTACCACAGCATGTCTATAGAGGTCAAAGGACAACCTGAAGGAGTCAGCTTTCGTCTTTTACCATGAAGGTCCCAAGGGTCAAAGTGAAGCCATCAGGCTTAGTGTCAAGTGCCTGTGCCCACTGACAGTCTCAACAGCCCCATGTATCTACTTTAAAAAAAGCTTTTAAATGATACTTGTGACAGAACTTGAAAATTTTAGTGTAGCCAGTATGATACCATTTTGTGTGTGTGTGTGTATGTGTGTGTGTGTGTGTGTGTGTGTGTGTGTGTGTGTGTGTGATCTGTCCTCGCCATTTCTAAGGGGGGTTTTCCAACCTAGGAGGCCATGGAAATAGTTTTCTAAGATTTCTTCTAGTAACTTCTTCAAATAGATTTTTAAACCTCCAGAGAATAATCTTATCTACACTTAATTTGGAGATTTGCTGAAATGTCTTTTTTTTCCCTTTCCTTTTCCTTCCTTCCTTCTTTCCTCCTTTCTTCTTTTCTTTCCTCCTTTCTTCTTTTCTTTCTTCTTTTCTTTCTTTCTTTCTTTCTTTCTTTCGTTCTTTCTTTCTTTCTTTCTCTCTCTTTCTCTCTCTTTCTTTCCTTTCTTTCTCTCTTTCTCTTTTTTCTCTCTTTCTTTCCTTTCTTTCTCTCTCTTTCTTTCTTCCTTTCTTTCTCTCTCTCTCTCTTCCTTCCTTCTTTCTTTCTTTCTTTCTTTCTTTCTTTCTTTCTTTCTTCCTTCCTTCCTTCCTTCTTTCTTAGACAGGGTTTCTCTGTGTAGCCTTGGCTGTTCGGGACTCACTTTATAGACCAGGCTGGCCTCAGACTCACAGAGATCTGCCTACCTCTGCCTCCCAGAGTGCTGGGATTATAGGCATGTGCCACGGCACTTGGCTCTCTCTCTCTCTGTCTCTAACATGGTTAGCAGACACTAGTGTATAGCTTATTCTTTCCTTACCAATTTGAAATATTATCACTAACATCAATCAATATTTCATGTCTGGCTATATGTTTTTTTGTCCATTCTTTTCTAGTCCTATCTCAGTAACCCTCAGTTTTAAAGACTGGCTCTATAGTATGTCTTACAGTAAGAAATTTGAGCCACTTTGTTCTTTTGTAAAATATTTTTGCTGACTCTCTCTCCATACTTACTCTTTTAGGATTGCTTTATTTCCTTGCATTAAAGCAGTGTTGGGATTTTTGACGCACATTTAAAATGAATGTAAAAACACATACTGTTTCTTTGTAAAGCCTTCAAAATATGTTATGTTGCATTCTCTTTATGTTACTCATCTCAGAAGCAGCAAGGGTAGATGCAAAGTCTAGTGGAACCTGAAACCTACATAACCTGGGATCCCCTCTAAAGATAATCATAATTATGAATGCTGCATTCGATGCTGTGCTTTGGGAGTGGCCTGTACCAGGAAGGTACTTGAACCTGTAGCTTAATTAACCTTGCGGTAAACCCACTTAAGATAAGTAATCTCACACGGAGAGAAGGCCGTGGAAAATTGTGTCTCCCTCTCTGCTAGAATAATCTGCTGTTTGAGACTCTGAAGCTACTTAAGTGGTGGAAGCCATAAAATAACAAAGTTGTAGCTGTGGTCATGAGGGAGCACGTGACATTTGATGACCTCAGCGCACGTTATGAGCATTAACTAATTAAACCTCATAAAACCCAAGAGATTTTGGAAAGAGAAAAGTAGCATCACCTTGCCCAGTTCTGAAATGCAGCCACCTCTTGGGATGATGGTGGCAGCTGCTTAATAATAAGCTTCAACACCTCGTGACAGTTTAGCTAAGACAATTAGTCATTGCCAATAGTAATTGTCTTACGAGCACTAGCCTAGCAAATGGTTAAGTCACAGGAGTATTAGTTCATTGTAAGTCCAGTTCATTCTTTAGCTATTTTTATTTTCAGAAATTTTATTTTAAAAGAAGGGTCATTTTAAAAAGCAGTGTAGCTTAAAATAGGGAATTACTGATATGAGCCAAGCTAACCTATGATAGTAGAAGTCAGAACCGGGTGTGATGACTTGATGCAGGGATGAGGGAAACAGATCTTGCAAATGTTTTGCATAGTCATCTCAGTAGGTACCACTTAGGAGAGACTGTGTAGAAACTCATTGACCACAAAACCTTTTTGTGTGTTGTAGCTCAAGACAAAGTGAGTTAGCCCATGAGAGCATGCCACACTTGTCATTATGAAATCACTGGAAACCCCAGGAACATGACACAGTCAGGGATTAGAGATACAGTAGGTTTTGTTGTCCTTGAAGCATCTTTCTTCAGAAGGATTCTAAGCCTTTTCTCAGGGCACCTCTTCATGGCCTATGAGCTATGTTTCATGTCTGGATATGAGTCTCTCTCATAGTACCTTCAGCATTACTGCTTTCTGAAAAACCTCCTCGGGCATCTAATTTTTCTCTTAGACTCTCACTGTATTTCCTTCACCTGTGTCTTTGTTTGAAGTGGGTGGAAGGCATTCGTGGTCCAGTCGTTTGGGTTGAGCAGTGTTTGTAGGAGTCATCCTGTGGTAACAGGTTCTGAAAGATGAGATAGGCAGAGGAGGAAGCAGAGAGGACCACAAGCTACCCCTGGTCCTTCAATGTCTGATGAAAGAGTTAAAAATATGAAGGCAGAACATCTTGCTCTCACTGACTACATCTCCAAAACATTCAGAAGTCCCAGGGTGCCTTATGCCTGTAGGTAGAGCGTCTGTGAGCTGCTCTGACCTGTGTGAACCATCAGAGGAGGAGAGCAGAAGTGACTGTGGAGGTTCCTCAGTGAAACAGGCCCTTGGTGAGGCAGATGTCAGGACAGGCTTCCCTACTGTGAGAGCGCTTCCAAAATTTTCTCCTAAGGCCTGGATGACTTGGAGACAGAAAAGAGGGGAGAGGAGCAGGAGGGCTGATGGCAGAAGAAAGAGTGGGAGGGAGGGAGCCTGTATGGTAAGTAGGCAATCTTCCCATTTGTTCTTTTTATAGACGATTAATCACATAAAGAATGTCCAGATTGCTGACGTTGCAGAGCATGGTATAACGACAGTGCTCAGCCCCAGTTCTTCTTATTTAGAAAATAGAAAGTGGAGCTGGCATGGTTGTGTACAGCCATAAGTCCAGGACTCTGGAGGCCAAAGCAGGAAAAGTATGAGTTCAAAGCTAGCCTGGGCTACATAGGATTAGAGAGGGGGAGAAAGGGCTGTGAGGTAGAGTGGGAAAGGAGGAAGAGAGAAAGAGGAAAGAAATGCTAATGCCAGTATCACTGGCAGAATCTGTGGTATTTCCAAAGCCCCTTTCCTAATCTTTGGAATTCAGAGAGCACTATATGGTAAATTGTAGTATTTCCATCTTCTAATTTAGCACTATTTCAAAGCCTGAGATCCGAGAAGGTGATGGTTGTTTATAAACTTCAAAGGGGCCTGACATCAAAGGACTTGTTGCCCAGAGCTTGGCAGTGGCTGGGGCTCCTACGTGCCAGGCACATGCTCTTTGTGTGCATCATCTCATCTGCACAGCTTCCTGGGCAGTATGGTTTCATCATATGGGCAAGGCACAGAGGGCTGAAGAGGAGCTGGCCTAGAATCTGATAGTCAGAGTGAGGATTAGGGTGAGCTGCAAAGCCCCGCTGTCCTCTTCCCATTTCTCTTCTCTGGACCAGATGTCTGGAAATCCACCATTACTTAAACCACTTGCTTATGCTTCCCAGCTTCCTTTGGTTCCTTGGATTGCTCATTACTTACTTTGTGTCCTTACTCTACCTTTTCTTTGAAAGGCATTGAAAGCAAGAGTGACAGCCAGGGTTCTCGAAATGTAGTTGAGGAGCCAGGGGGAAGTGCTTCTGCAGAGGAGATGATCCAGGTAAGCGAAGACACTGCGTCCCCAGGCCTGTGGGATGGGGATGGAGCTGGGAGCCTTCGGTGTGAGGATCACCGCAGCATTCTGTCATCCACTGCAGAAAGGCCCCACTCACACTGAGGTGGGGCCTTTTATTGGGCAAGCCTCATGGCATGCTCTAGAATGGTAAGACAGAATGGAATGTCATTCTGTCGTCTTTGCATTTCTCATTACTGTGACAAAATACATGGCAAAAGCAACAGATCCATGTTTGCCTGTTGTTAGGACTGAAGCAGGAGTAGCTAGGGGCACAGAGAGACACAAGCACTTAGGGGAGTGAGGTACATGCTTGTTTTTTCAGTTGGGGTTCTTTTTTATAGATATACACACAAGTCAAAAGTTCTTAAAAGGCAGTTTGTTGTATGTTAATTATACTTTAGTAAAGCTATTTAAAAATTGGTGTAGCTCTGAAGTCACACAGAATAAGAATAATAGAATACAACTAACATGGAGAGAGAAATAGGAGGTGCCTATCCTGGCCCAAGCATCTGTGAGTCTACCATCTGCTCTTTCTTTTCTCCCATTAAAAATCCTTAGGGGCTGGATGCTGCCTTGTTTCCTTTTAACAGGTGAAGCCGAGGCTCCATCACTCTCTCAGTGTCTCTTAGCCAGTAAGCAAGGGCACCGAGGTCTACACGCTAGCTACTTCCTGCAGAGCTTGAGTTGGTTGCTTCTTATGTCTAACTGTGGTCCTTTGCAGGAAAAGGAGGCTGAAGATTCTTCATGTGAGGACACTGTGTCACCATACTTAAGTAAAATGTCTGATGATTTACAGGTAATGCTATGCTTGGGTAGGGTCTTTGTTACCTGCTGACCAGTGAGTGTCCCTCCTTCCCCATTGTTTTTTTGTGTGCTCTTTCTTCCTCTAACCCTCCACTGCCTCTCCCTAACACATAGCAACTACTGTCCCTGAGCTAGCTCTGGATAATTTGACCCCACTGTAATTAATCCTTAATTCCACACCTTCTGCAAGCTCAGACTACACTGTTGTGGGTTATTAATATCTATTATTGATTTATCTGCAGTTAAACAACAGTTATTCCTAAACCAGCTGCATACCCAAATCACCACACAGAGACTAGGTTTTTATTTAATTAACCTAGAGCACAATGCTGGGCAATGATTACTCCACCCTAAACCTCCAAGCCCGCAGAGCTTCTTCAGCTTTCAGATTTCCACATTATCCTTGCTTTTAGTCATATCTGAGGTCTGGTTCATCTCTGCACATGGTTCCAAGTTCTCTCCTTCTGATCTCTCTCTCCTCCTCTCTGGACCAGGATGTCCCACCCTATTTTCTCCACTGCTCAGCATTGTGGCTGGTTGTTTTATTGACAATACAGAGAACAAATGGTGGCATGTTTACACAAACTTGAGACAGGTGATGCTTATATCACAATACAATGTCCAGATTGAAACCAGACAGTGAGGTAGAGAAATCAATATTTGAATGAATAAGGGTAAATTGTATACATTCTGAAAGAACACTATACCAACACTACACGTTGTGTTTTATTTGTGTTTCAATTACTTGCAACAATTTTAGTATACACAATATTTTTTAATTCTTCTACTGTGCCCAAAGAGAAGCTTTGGAGAAGTACAATGCTTATTAGAGTGCTCCCTTCCCTGACACCGTACACAGAGATACACACCACGTGATGTGTGCAGATATATATCAAATGCACACACTTGCCCAGGTATAAGTATATGCACTTATATGCTGCTTAGGTTCTTGTAGCAGTCCTCTCTTATTACAGGTTCAAACCCAGCTTCACTTAGTTAACCAAGATTTGCTTGTTAGCATCTTCCACTTTGGCTGTCCCAGGCATCTTCCTTTGTTACTCTCCTTCATCTCACCCACACCCTCTTGCACTGCTTCCCTGTCAAACTGGTTCCATCCATGCCTTGGGTCATCTGTTTCTGTGAACTGGGGAGTTGGGAGATCCCAAGCCCTGAGGTCCTACTTAGCGTTTTATCCATTTAAGGAGCAATGGAAGACATTGTAGTGTCTGGAGTAGGAGACTAACATGATCTGCTGCCTGTCCTGGTGACAAGAATAAGGACAAACCTCTCTGGGACTCCAGAGGGCCTCCTGGTGATGGGCTGCTGCATTCTGTTGTCTCTAGAAGCTTGCACATCTCTGAGGGGGCCTGGGCCAACGATAGTCAGATCCATGATGGCATTGGGATGAACACTGAGTGCTGCTTCCCCACATCAGAGCTGTCAGAAGGCCAGACCCTCTGCTGTCTGACCCTCAGACACTGACCAACTGAGCACTCTATGAGGCGTCATCTAGGGTGGAGAGAGCCACTGTCTTACTGCCAGCCCTGAAGCGAGAGCAGCGCTGTGACCGGATGCCGAATATCTCAGCGCCTGTCCTTCCAGGCAGTCTGCAGGGTGGGGTTGGACACCGGATCCTGTACTATCTGCAGGGAAGTGTACAGCGGGGTCGGGGAGAAGAGCGTGGTGTATGGGTACAGGTCTACCCTTGCATTTGCTGCTGGACACCCCTACTGTCACTTAGTGTCAGCCCTCTGTCACTTAGTGTACCTCAGCACCACGGAATGGGGCTAGAGATGCCAAGCTGCAATTCTTTAGGGAGCAGCCAGGAGTGCGTGAGAGGAGTAGTTGAGGGAATCAACACCCAATTCCTTTACCTCTGAGGCAGAGTGCTCTGAGGGACAAATGGTGAAAAGCTGCCCCTTGACAGGCCTGTGTTGGTGACCTTACTTTCCTTGACTCACTTCCCTTCTTTCCTCCCAGAGGTTCTTGGCAGCTGCTGAGACCTTCAGCTTAGGTTTGTGTCTGAGGAGCCCACACTAAGAGACTCATTAACGCTAGGTCATTGCTGTGCCCCCAGCAGGAGAGATACAGTGGAGATACAGTTTAAGCTGACAGCTTTCTCTCTAAGATTTCTAAGAGTGAGGCCACTCCTTTAAAGCCCCAAACACAGATGGGATGGGGAGGGAGGACATCCCTGAGGACATCAAGGTAAGCAAGGATGATCGATCTCCTGTGTTTATCTTCTGACCCTTCCAAAAAAAAAAAAAAAAAAAAAAACACCACCAAAATGACAATAAAGAAGTGAAAAGGGCACAGGTCCCCAAAGACAACAAGATGGAAGGGAGTTATTGGAAGATTAAGCACTTCAAAAATATTTAGAATCAAGAAAATCGATGCAGGAATTTGCACTGGCTTAGCAGAACCAAGAAAGGGGAAGCATCTGAGAGGAGACAGTGAAAGTGGTGTGAACTCTCCACAAGGGCTTGGGGTTCTGCTGAGGGGAAATACAGGATGAGGGCGAGGATGGAGGCCTCTTTGGCAGCCCAGTAAGGAGTAGCCTGGACCCCAAACTCGCTGCACACTCTACATAGCTGACCAGCACCCTAGGGGGAATGACCAGGGGAACATTCCCTGAAGAAACCAAAGAGACAAGGCTCCAAGAGACTGTCTGATGGTGAAGGGGTGTGAATAGAGGAAGTGGAATTCTCCGTTTCAGAGGGAGAAGCTCCAGCTGCTCCTCGAAGCCAGGTGTTGCTGCTATAATCAGCTACTACAAGTTGGTGGCTTAAAACAACGTGGGCCTATCCCCATATAGGCCCAGGAATCAGAATTCCCTTAGTTCTCACACACTTAGCCTCAGAGTGGAGGTGGAGGTTTATTTCTTCTGAGGGAGCTAGGGAGGCTCTTTTCCATTGTTAGGCCAGTGCCTAGAAGGAACATGCATTTCTTGCCCTATGCCCTCTTCCTGTATCTTCAGGGCCACACCAGTGCACCTTCCCCACCCGCAATGAGCCTTCTGCCTGCCTTACATTTCATCAGACCTGTTTGCATAAACCAGGAGAGTTTTCTCTTCTCAAAACCCTTAATTTAGTGGCATCTGCAAAGTCCTGTTGCTGTGTAAGATACATGTCCTCAGGTTTTGGGGAATCAGACACACACTTCTTGAGGGCCACTGTTTTTCTCCCACAGTCTCTCCTGAGGGGTGGAACTGTAGGCTGGGAGAGTTTTGTATTAGTAACTTTTCTGAGAGTGTGATAAAACACCACAACCAAAATGACGGAGTTTATCTGGGCTCACAGTTGCAGAGGGTAAGGGATCATCATGGCGGGGAGGAATGGCAGGAAGGGGCAGGAAGCCTCCAGATCACATCGTTAATGGAAAGCATGAGGAAGTGAGAATAAACTGGAAGTAGGGCAAGGCTACACATTCCCAAGGCCTGCCCCCCCCCCCCGTGACATACTTCCTCCCACGAGGCCGCACTTTGTGAACCTTCACAAACAGCGTGATCAAGGTGGGTCCAGAGTGTTCAAATGCCTGAGCCTAGAAGGGGCATTTCTCCTTTAAACCCCTAAAAGCTCCAAGTCCAGATTAGGTGGGAAGAGAAGCAAGGAAGCTCATGCATTATATCAAATATCTGATTGCTTAGAAAACTCTTGACAAGTGCTACACAAATCTTACAAAACATGAAAAAATTTAGAAACAGAGAAAATAAAAATAAGGTGCACAAGTGAGAACAGAGCTATTTTATAGTACTTTATTCGTGGCAGCAAAAATACATCCTAACATATTTAATAACAATATCTATATTCTGTAATCTACAATGTATCATAGCAATATCAAAACTGATGTAACTAGAAATGTGATTTAATTATATTGTGGGGATAGAATGCAGGGAAAGAATCGCAGAAGAGCGTTAAATCTATCCAATACTTCAGTGCTCAACAAGAGAAAAATCTAAATTGATGAAATTTAGAAGAAATAGCAGCATAAGCATAATTTTTGGAAATAGAGATAAATATTTCAAGAAACTAGAAGGCTGAAAGTGATACCTGATGGAGAGGAGGGAGACAATGGACAGCTGTTTTTTTATAAAATTCTACCACTAATAATTTGACTGTATGTTTGTGTTATTTTGATTAATAAACATTCCAGAAGGAACTCAGAATGAATCATGTTCCCCTGGATTATAATATCTGCAGGTAACCCACAGATCGGAGTGGATGTACCCAGTGCCAACTTCCCTGGTAGAGGAGGTCAGTGGACCTTTCTGGGCTCCATCTCATTCAAAGAAAACCTTCCGGGAATCTAGTACCACAAAACCTTAATAAAACCAGTTTTCAAGAGAGAACTTGCTGATCTGTTAATATGTGTAATATGGTACTCCATACTAATCTTCACCCAGTGAAACAGTTAAAAATGTTTGTTTGGGGGCCTTTCTGTCAGAACTTGTTCTTATTACTGTGAGTTTTGAATCTCTTTAGTAATGTCTTCCGATGGACCCTCTCAGGATGGTTTGTTTCAGATGAGGCAGTCACACATGCCGTAGGGACAGGACGACAGGACATTTAGAGACAGTGAAGCCAATAGCCCCATGAGGCTCCATGGTTCCCATGGGTTGCCCCTCTCTCCACTCTAGGACAATGATCAGAAGTTCAGCTTACTTTCCTTTGCCGGCGATGAGGACGTCAGTTTGAGCAGTGAGAGCTCCCTGCCATCCTTCCTGTTCCCTGAGGAATCCTCGCACTTCCGCCCCATCTACCTGGGAGATTCTGACGCGTTTTGTATTCAGCTCTTTTGTATTGATGAGAAGTATGAGGCAAGGCAAGTACTGACTCCAATGTTTGCTTAGGTAATTTTTTTCCCCAAGCTCATGGTCTTTAAACCAGGCCCCATTTCCTAATCTTCTAGGAACCTCAAAACAAAGCAGATTCCTGGATCTCATCTAGATATTCTAATCCATAAAATTTGGGTAATATCTACAGAAAGGAATAAAAATATCTGGACAGTTGTATCTTTCCTGTATCACAGTTAAAGATCTGGAGAATTCCCACTGTGTAGCCACATGCTGCTTCCTTTATATACAGTGTGCGTTTCTCTGAGTCTTTGAAGTTGTACTGCTTTTGGGTGCAAGAAATAGAAAATTCTTCAAAGGCTAATGCAGCTGAGGATAAGTCCAGTGGTAGGACTCATGCTAGACAGTGCTAGACCCCAGACTTGGATCATTGAGGAGGAATTTTCCCTTTACTCTGGCTCTCTGCTGTTGGTCCCCACCTGAGAAGATAGAAGATGGCCTCAGGTCTACATAAGAATCTCATGGGAGGGCATTCTGGCTGAGGTTCAGATTTCCAGCCAAAGTTTCAAGAGGCCTGGTTGACGCAGTGCTCTTTCCTGAGCCAGTGACTGTCATGGAGCCATACTTCAATGTGTGCTGTCTGTTGCCTCACGCTTCGCCTTTAAATTGGAGCAGGAGACTCACCAAAACGTAAGATGTTAGAGGGGGGTAAAAGGAACACCCAACAACCCAGGAAAGTTATGGAAGGAGGCATGATGTCTAGCTGACAAGGCCTGGCTCCCACTTCCTCTCTCTCAAGAGAACCTATGTATGCAATGCTTGGGGCCTCCCTTTCTCAGTCTCAGGACCACTGCCTGATGCCTGAATTCAGCATCTTCTTCCACACACCACCTCTTCTAAGCTTATCCACTAAATATTTTGAAGAGGAAATATGTGCCCATTTTGATAGAGCTGAAGGTTCTAGAGTACCTTTGAGATAACCACAGATAGTGCTGGCCATTTCCTTTTTAGGGGTGCATCTAATAGAACCCCCATCTTTTAGCCCCAGAACCATGGTTTTTTAATATTAAATATTTAGCTTATATGGAGCTCATGGAGCTTGCAAAGGGAAATCTTCCTATTTTAATTAGAGTGTAGACTAAAGCACCTGGAATGGCCTTCAATACTTGTTTTATATGTATTTTCTCTGTGTTTTTAGATAAGATTATGCCAAGACAGTTGTTTTTTATTTAGTTTGATGACACCTTATAATTTTCCCATGAAAATACAAATGTGGCTATTTAGAAAATATTTTGCAAATAAAAGTAGAAAATTTCAGGATAGCTGATCACATAGCCAAATCTCTCCTAACTCTCCCAAAAAGAAAGGGGTAGATCATGTCCACAGAATGGCCGTCATCAGTCCTGGCTTTGAATTGCACAGCTATTATTTGTTCCTGTGAGAGTGTCCAAAACTACTGTATGGCTGACATATGAAGCCTATGGTATATACAAGTAATTGCATTCACCTGTGCAATTGATTAGACCTATTGGCTGGCTAACTGCTGCACGGGGGTGGGGTACGTAAATCTCTTGAACTGTATGTAAATCTCATGATGCTTTAATATGCAGTCCATTGACATTGCTCACTGTCTTGTTTACAGGTCGCTGGACTTTATGAGTTTTGTCTTCAGTCTTTTTCCTGTGAGTACATGCTGGATTTTGAGTAATATATTTGCTTTCGTGGCTGAGTTATAGAAAGACAGAATGTTTACTGTGCAGACATTTAAAATGCCATCAATGTCAAGGCTTGAGCTGTTCCCCTGTTCTGAGGAGACGGTCAAATGTCATGAACTCCTAAAGTAGAAAGTGTTGTCATTTTCAGTATGTGTCTGCTGTACAATTGTTTCCCTAAGAGACAGCATTCCAGTGTTTGAGTGGGATTAAATCAATCACTGTCATATATGAAAATGCCAGCAGTTAGGGATCCGTAGTACCTCAGATTTCTGAATTACTTGTGGTTTATAGTGGCTCAACCTATGCTGACGTCAGCACATTGCTTTGTGGCAGGTAGGAAAGAGGAAACAAACCTGTGGGTGATTTCCAGTTTGGCATCTCTTCCCCACTCACTCCTGGGTCCTTACATGGTGGCTGGCATGTGGAAGGAGCTCAGCCAATGTTAGGTGCACTGGGGTCAAAGCACACACATGCTCCTCCATCTCAGGGACTCCGAGCCTCTCCATTGTCCCATTGTTGTCTGGGGATGGGGATCCTCACCAACCACTTATCCTAAGGGAAGGAAGTGGAGGAGGAAGACAGTCAGGAGAAGCAGTAAGTCATTAGAAGGACCTCTCTGATGCTTAGCCGGGGCAGCTCATCTCAAGTGTACTTCTTCAGTCAGGCTTCAAACATAATACCTGTTCTTTTGTGTCCTTTCTATTTGTTATATTGAGGCTATATATATATATATATATATATATATATATATATATATATATATATATTTTTTTTTTTTTTTTTTTTAAATAATGTGATCTTCGGTTTCACTTTATTGTTTTTTCAAAAACTAAAAAAGCCTTAGAACGGGGCAATATGTTCTCCACTATGGTCTCTTGAAATTGATTTTAAGGCATTTTCAAAGCTCAGAAAGCAATGGGGATTAACCCAAACAAAGAATTTTCAAAGCTGGTTCCCTCAAAGATGCCTTAAAGACATTTCACTGGGCTTCATTCTTATTTTAACATCCACATTATAAAAGTAAGACTGGATTTTAATGGGCAGAAGACCTGTTTACATTTTGATTCTATTTGACTTGGGGATATAAGGATACAGGAACAAAATACCTTCATTACTTCACCGTTAATCCCTCAAATCCAAGCTGAAGCAACTCATTATCGTTAGTAACCCCTTCCCTAAGGAAGCCCACCGAGACTTGGCACCCAGTCCTTATTTTCAGCTTGAGTAGCTTGGCATTGTGATTCTAAAGTTTCCCCAAAAGAAGCTGTGTTATTTTGCTAGAAAGAAGGAAGATAAGGTCAAATAATGATTCACTCCTTGGGGCTGCAAAATGTCCTGAGGGCTTTGGATTAGCACAAGTAATACCTTCACAGGGTTCAAGAGGAGGCAAAGTCCCAAAGGGACAAATTAGCTCTGGGAAGAGCAGGCTGCTTCTGCGGGAACCTGGGACAGGATCAAGTGGCTGTGAGGAACTCAGACAGCCTTGAGCTGTACAGTCTGCAGACGCTGGAGTGAATGTTCTAGTAGCTGCATGAACAAAAGAGTAAAAAGGGAAGAAATGGAATTCCTGTTACTGCAGCGGGCAATCAATGTCAAAATTGCTAACGAGCTGTTTTATATTCTTCATCGCATGCTAAGCCTTGAAGTTCAAGGGTTTTAGATTGCGGCGTCCCTCAGTGTAAGAACTGGCTTTTCATCTGCAGTGCTTAATTCTATTTAAGTCTCATGAAATTTGCAGTTGGATCAGCAGCTTCATATATTCAGGGTGGGGTAGAGAGATTACCATGACTGAAGCACATGCAAAACTTGTCCAATAAATGAAATTTGGTGCCAGTCTTTAAAGTTTAAGTTAATGTAACTAACTTAAATGGCATTAAATTAAGATTTTAGTTTCTCAGTCACACCAACCACATAGTGAAGGCTCATTAGTCACATGTGACCACTGGCTTGCTACCTGGGACAGCAAGGTCTAGAAAGGGAAATGGCATCACTTAGAAAGGATGATGTCATGACAAAGACCTCATATATAACCACAGGATTTTAGAGTCAAAACGGCCTGGGATAGCACCCACATTTCACAGAGCAGAGGCCAAGTCATCGGTAAATCTCACTTCTTGAAGTTCAAGGCCCTTGTTATGATACTATCCTGCCTAGTTTACTCACTGACAAAACTGAATTCACAAATGGAAATGGTTTAAAAATCTAGGCCAGATCTTGTAGCACAGGCCTATTAATCCAGAAACCCAGAAAGGCGAGACAAGAGGATTGCAAGTTCAAGACCTGCATGGACTGCAGAAGAAAGTTTAAGATCAGCCTGGACAACTCAGTGAACTTTTCTAAAAAAAAAAAAAAAAAGGTCCCGAGCGAGCAAAGGCTGGCTCAGCAGGAGAGTTCCTGCCCAGCGTATGCAAGACTCTCAATGTGATCTTCAGAGATGCAACATTAAACAAGCCAGTGAGGTCAACTGCTAGGAGCTGAATGTGGTAGCCTCTAACCCTGTAATCCCAGAATTTGGAAGACTGCCGCAGGAGGATGATTCAGAGGCCGGGTCTGGCTGCATAATGAAGCGCTGTCTCTGAAGCTGCAGCAACAGAAACTGTTTCTGTGTGAGAGTGCCTGAGTGGGCTGCTCGACGCAACAGTCACCTGTTCCGCTTTCAGTCAGCTTTGCTGATGTCTTCTCCATCCTCTCCTAGCTGCTAGGCTCCATGAGTTTTATTAATGACTCTGCAAATGGTAGAAAAGCAATTTGAGCATTTTCTAAGTGCTTTGTTTTGCTTGTTTTTCAGTATATATAGCACAAATTTGTTAAATGAGAAATGGCTTCTTATGCTCTCCAAACGTCTTACTGATCTTTAAAAATAATTTTTAGAATAAGAACTACTGCTTAATATCTGTGCCCCGCCTCACACCTGAGTTCGTCCTCATCCAGAACTTCGTGAAGGTTGTCCCATACAACAATTGCACCCTGGAGCATGATCTCTATATGTTCCATCGAGCTGGATTGCTCAAGTAAGTGAACTTAGGTGTTGTGTGACTTTTTGAGAGAATGGTAATGTCTTTTGCTGGTTGGAATAAGCAGTGTCCCCCACCCCACCCCCCACAGGCTCAGGTGGTGCTACTGGAGGAGGTTATGGAACCTTTAGAAGGCAGAGACTTGGTAGAAGTATGCCACTGGGGCAGGCTTGGTTGAAGATGTTACCTCAAACGTCCACGACTCGTTTGCCATGTGGGCTCCCCCCTCCAGAACCATAAGCCAAAATAAACTATTCTTTCATAATTTGTTTTTGATCATAGTATTTTATCATAGCAACAAAGGTAATACTATGTGACTATTCATCCCAGATAGGACACCAACAGCAGACCAAAGAAATGATCTATGAAATCTAGTTTGGTCCTTGTTGTATACTTGAGCATCTTTTGGATATATTGTTCACAGCAGCTTTATTTGTAATAGTCAGAAACTGGAAACAACCCAGATGTCCCTCAGCTCAGGAATGGATACAGAAATTGTGTTACATTTACACAATGGAATACTACTCGGCAATTAAAAACAACAAAATCATGAAATTTGCAGGCAAATGGTGGGATCTAGAAATGATCATCCTGAGTGAGGTTTCCTAGAAGCAGAAAGACACACATGGTATATACTCACTTATGAGTGGATATTAGACATATAATATAGGATAATCCATACTAAAATTTGTTCCCCTAAGGAAGCTAATCAAGAAGGAGGACCCTGGGTAAGATGCTCAATCTTCATTCAGAAAGGCAAATGAGATGGACTTCAGAAGAGGAAGAAAAGAGGGAACAGGACAGGAGCCTATATCACAGAGGGCCTCTGAAAGACTCTACCCAGCAGGGTATCAAAACATATGCTGAGATTCATAGCAAACTTTCTGCAGAGTGCAGGGAATCTTATGAAAGAAGGGGGAGATATAAAGACCTGGAGGGAATAGGAGCTCCACAAGGAGAGCAACAGAACCAAAAAATCTCAGCACAGGGGTCTTTTCTGGGACTGATACTCCAACCAAGGACCATGCATGGAGATAACTTAGAACCCCTGCACAGAAATAACCTATGGCAGCTCAGTGTCCATGAGGGTTCCTCTATAATAGGAACAAGGACCATCTCTGACATGAAATCATGGGCTGGCTCTATGATCACCTCCACCTGAGGGGAGAGCAGCCTTACCAGTCCACAGAGGAAGACAGTGAAGCCTGTCCTGATGAGACCTGATAGACTAGGGTCAGACTGAAGGGGAGGAGGGCCTCCCTATCATTGGGCTGAGGGAGGGGCAAAGGAGAAGAAGAGGGAGGGAGGGTAGGGTTGGGAGAGGAAGGGGAGGGGGCTACAGCTGGGATACAAAGTGAATAAACTAATCGAAATAAAAAAATAATAAAAGAAAAATAAAAGAAATCTAGTTTGGTTCACACAGGTTATCAGCAGGAACATGGTCTAGGAGTTACGTATTAGGGACATGGTTGACTCAAAGGCAACCATATCACTGAAACTGAATCACTGTGGACCAGCATGGGTGATGGTGACTCACCAAAGCTCTGTTTCTGGAGTCACTGCCCAATTGTAACTAGTGCTTCCCAAATACTCTCTTCTCCCAGCTATTGTTCATTGCTTGTGTAACTTGGGAAGGAGCCTTCTGGACCTTCTCCCTCTCCGAGTCTTACCAGCTTTGTGAATCCAGTACATTTCCATAGCTGAGTTTTAGGAACTTTCTTCTTCCCTCACAGGGACTAACAATACTCAACCCTTCCTCAGGCTCTTACGTTTTTTTCTTTGCCATCTTTGAAAATGTTCCCTGCATCTTGGAAAGATGTGAATATCTGATGTTTTCTCCCATTTATGCTTGAGCAGTGAACCACTGTACACTAGTAACACTCACTTATTCTCAGCTGCCAAGAGTCATGGTATAACTAGCACCCACCAAGAAAGAGGTCTCTCCTCATGAGCATAACAGTAGCTCATGCTGTAAGTAGGGATGACAGGCACATCACATCCACTTAACGAAACAGGAGTTGATTTCCCATGGGGGACAAGACCTCTACAGCTATGGGGTTTGTCCCTGGCTTCCATATCAGACATTAGTTAGTTCCTGCAGAGTGGGTCTTAAGCCCAAATCAGAGAGCAGTTATTTGTCCCCATAATAGTTGTACCATTATTGTAGCAGCAGACACATCTGGTGTTGGCATTGTCAGCATAACATGCACGGTGCAACACTGAATGGGACTGTTGGTGACAGCTCTTCCTCCATCAGCCTGTGGAGCACCTGTGTTAGTCTGGACTCTCTAGAGAAACAGAGCTGATAGGAAAAGGATGTGAGTGGCTTACAGGCTGTGGCCTAGCTAGAACAACAATGGCTGTCTATCAACACAAAGTTCAAGAATCCAGCAGTTGTTCAGTCCACAAGGCTGCATGTCTCAGCTGGCCTTTCGTATACCCCAGAATCCTAAAGAAGTAGGCTCTAGTCAAGGGATAGACTTGCCAGGGATAGTGAGGGTAAACAGGCCTTGTTCCATGGCCTTTACATAGCTGGGCTGCCAGCAGAAGGTAGATCTTCGGCCCCTCAGAAAATTGGGATAAAAGGTGGGTCTTCCCACTTCAAATAATTTAATTAAGGAAAAAAAATTCCTCACAGGTGTACCCAGCTGCGTGAGCTTTAGTTAATTCCAGACGTAATCAATTTGACAATCAAGAGTAGCTGCCACAGTCCACAGCTGATGCACAACTGTAGCTCCTTACGTCATGCTTAATTTCCAAATGAAAACAAGAACCATGTCATAATCATGCCCAACGTGATTTAGCATACAACTGCAAAAGCATTATAAATTTTTAGAAGAGGTGGCAATGTTGTTTTAGGGACATTAAATATGACAACCAATAAATGTTCTCTTAATTGATGTTATATCACATGATAAAGAAATCAAGGAAAGAAAACACAAATGTGTGTACAAGCACATTCTTAACAACATATGACAGAAACATTCGTGTCACTTCTAATTCTCATTTCTGCAACTGGTCATATAAACTTAGACGCATGCTATGTGTAACAACTTTCATCTACTCTCCATTTTGTATTTCCCCCACTCTTAGTAGGTTGTGGCTGTTTTCTTGGAGGAGTGTCCACACCTCCATTTTTGAAGTGTCTGTGCTGTTTTTCATCCTGCCTGGATTAGGCTGTGGTCGGTTCCCATTGACTTCAGTCACAGGACACAGTAGCGCAAAGAGATGCCCTCAAGGCTCTCTACTACTCCAAACATAATGTTTCTTACCTCTATTGTGGAGAAGCAATCTAATTTTCCTTTGTTAATCTGGATCAGTCATCCTTCCTAACACTTTTATTCCTTTCTTAGCCTATTGGCTTAAGGGTGTCAGAAACCCAAAGTGTTGGGAGAGGGGTGAGTCTGAGCTTCCAGCTCAATGGAACGTTTGTTGTGGCTCCTGACAGGAGCACTCCCTGCTCTCAAACCAAAACTTCTAGGCCAGCGGTACTTAGGCAAAAATTTTCCTACTTGGTCACAGAGAAGGACAGTGGAACTATTCTCTTTTCCACCCCTGGACTCCTGGACTGTATATCTTGGCTTTGGGGAAACTGCACCATATATTGGACACTGATTCAATGCACATACTGCCTACTGGAGAACCCTGCCTCACTCCTCCAGGCTGCTGGAACTATAACTGTGTTTTCAAAAGGCCATTCCATCTTCCTATGAGGCCAGTTGATTTAGCATGGTGGGGAACATGGTGAGGCTGGTGGACCATGATCGTGATAGCCCACTGTCTCACTTCTCTGGCTGTGAATTGAGTTTCTTGGTCAAAATCAATACTCTGTGGAATACCATGATGGTGGATATGGCATTCTGTAAGTCCATGGAGTTTTTTTTGTTTTGTTTTGTTTTGTTTTCAGAAACATTACGTTCAGGAAAGGCAAACTCATAACCAGTGAAAGTATCTCCTCCAGTATGGATTAAGCATTGTCCTTTCCATTAAGAAAGTAGTCCAGTGTAGTCAACCTGCCACCAAGTTGCTGGCTGGTCACCCCAGAGAACAGTGCCATATCTCTTGGTCTCTGCTATTGGCAGATTTGGCACTCAGCAGCCACTGTGGCCAGGTTAGCTTTGGTGAGAGGAAGCCTATGTTGTCCAGCCCATGCCTAACCCCATCAGTGCCACCATGGACACTTTGTTCATAGTCTTATTGGGCAATGATGGGGATAGCTGGAGAAAGGCTGACTGTCCACAGACTGGATCATTCTATCTACTTAAGTATTGAACCCCTCAGCTGGAATCGTCTTTTGCTCAGCATTTACATGAAACACAAGTGTCTTCACATCCTTCACCCATTTGGAGAGATTTATCCACATACTTCCTCCTCAGATACCTTTCTTACTAATTTTCATATCTTGTTCTTTCAAGTCCCTGACATCAAACTAATGATTGGTTGCAGCCCATACATCAATCAGTGAATAATTGCACATCTCAACATTTCTCCTTCCAAAGAAAATGTGCGGTTGTGTGTACTGCTCAAAGTTCTGACCACTGTGAAGATTTCCCTTCACCGGTGTCTTCCAAGGTTGTCTCAGAAAAGGTTATAATGCCACAGCTGTCCACTTCTGGCTAGTGCCTGCTTAATGTGCAGAGCTATCAGTGAACCAGGTCACCATCTTTTCTTCCTCAGTCAACCAGTTATGACACCCCATGAGGCATTAGGTGCATGCTTCACTGAGTCAGACTTCAGCCAAAACTCTATTAATAGTCACCTGACCACCACAAGTTCCTACTTTAATTGGAGGGCCACAGTGTTTCTTGGGGTCTCCCCGAACCACAGTCAATTCATACCCTGCATCTGAAAGACTCTGGGAGGTCTGATTGTTTCCTTTTCCCCAGTGTACAGCTACCATTGTAACATGCTGTAGAGCAGAGACCATAGGCATTTGGGCAGTCCTTTCATGTAATTTGATTATGCCTTCAGAATCTGCTCAACCTTGATCACCCATA